CAGAACATCACTAGATAAAAGGGAAATCAGAGCTTCAATAAGAGGCAAGCTCACATCCGCAACCACCACACCCAAAGAATTGATAAAGACAGTACCCACTCCACAAGAAGAATCATTCAGACTATCATAGACATTAACAAGATCTATCAGATCCTGCCCAATCATGATAGGAGAATTAACAAGAGAGGTATCAGCCATCTTGTTAACATCGCACAAGCCCAAAGTCATCATATTCACATTTTAATTACAAGGTTCATGATCAATTTCTTGATGAGCCATCTCAACAATAGTAGACGACCAACATTAAAAGCTATGTGAAGATCAAATTAGGGCAAATTGCATGACCATAATTGAATGTAAGAAATAAGGTGTCCTAAGAATTAAAACTTTGGAAAGATTTTTGTAAAAAAAAAAAAAAAAAAACTCCTATACTTTTTTAACATTTATACAAACAACTTCAAGTATTTTAAATGTATTGTATATATTTTACATTATATTCCTCTTTTTCTCGGTATTCCTTTTTCAATTTTTTTTTTCTATGACGAGAAAACACCGTCCTTAGACCAGTAAAAATCCCGGTTGACCCAGCATGCAACACCCACCAATTTACACGGGTTAACACTTAAGACTTTCAGTGCTTGCCAAAGGATTCAAACCAGGGATCTGAACTTTACCCAGCCGGCTCTTCGCAATCCGAACAAGCAGCGGTGGGTCCTTTTTCAGTTTTAGTTAGCCCCTTAATAAAATTGTTAAATTTACGAAATATATCACCACAAAAGCATACCCTTTCTTTGCACTTTCGACATTCCCAAATCAAAAAAAAATATATAATAAAAACAATAAAATAAAAAATAAAAACCATGGAAATGTCACTAGTAATCTGAGGCTCTAAAATCCTTTCGATCAAGTTGCTCCTTGATCGATCGGCGTCTTTCTTCCCGCCGGTCATGGCCGCCGTTGCCACTGCCCCCATGACTCCCAAGCTCTCACTCAAGCTTCTCATCGACAAGGAGCGCAATCGAGTAGTCTTCGCTGAGACGGACAAGGATTTCGTGGACATCCTCTTCAGCTTCCTCACTCTACCTATGGGTTCCATCATCCGCCTCCTCGGCAAGAAAACTGGCGTCGGATCCATGGATCGCCTCTACGAGAGCGTCGCGAAGTTCGATGAACGCTGCTTTAAGACCCCAGCATGCAGGGCGATGCTACTCAGCCCGAGAAGCGAGGCGGAAATCCGGTGCAAAGGACTTGCGCTCGAGCTTGATGAGGAGTCGGAGCCTTGGATCTACTATCGCTGCCTCTCTTCGAGGTCTTACTGCGCAGTGAGCTCGGTATTTGGAGCTCGGTGTCCCTGTGGCGGGACAACGGAAGCGCCTATTTTGGCGTTGGGTTGGCAAGGATGCGAGGGGTCCGAGAATGGGTTTGTGAGGGATTCCGTCAATTTCATTGTGAGCGATGATCTGGTGGTACGGCCTGCTTCAATTGGGGCTAGCTTGGCTCTGATCAACGAGCTTGGGATCGATGATGGCAATGTTCTTGAGAAGAAGACTGTGCATTTGAACAGAGAGGAGGTGAGCTTGCCTGGTTCGATGATCTTATTTACGTAGGTTTAGTTTAATTGTTCTGTATCTTGATTAGCTTGTTCAGATTGACTAAAAGTACTTTACCATTAAGTCGGTTTCTCCCAAAAATTCTTTGCCGGGAATCCTGATGCTTCCTAATTTTGATTATCTTCACGGCACAATACTTGCTATAAATAAAATCTGTGTGGCTATGCGTTTGGTGGAGGGGAATAAAATTATGATTAATAAGGAATGGTGCAAGTTTGTCGTCAATCGATTCATTCTGTCAACAAACATATCATAGGAAGGTATGCGAACCATTAGTTTGATATTTCGCAATTTTATTCATAGGCTGATTTCTTAGGTCCTACTGGGGGCTGAATATTGTAATTAAAACTTCTACCTTCAAGCTCCTGAATTTCAATGAATGAAGTTTAACGAATTTCCCTTTATAGCAGCTAATTGAAGTTGCTTTTTGCCGTTGCCTCTCCACGCTTTTGAAAAATTTCTTAATTTCTGACGAGGAGCATATTTTCACACCCGGCACACTATACCGCCACTAACAAATTCTGTCCATTTTTTCATTTCAATTAAGCTGCAGCTTCTTGATATATCTTAAACAATTAATCTTGGTCGGGCATGAATCTTGGGGCAAATTTGAGTTGGAAACTTCTGAAATTAAATCTGGGACTATCCGAACTCCGATTTCAGTAAACTTATAGTCGAACTAAACATCTCAAAAAGACGAACCCAACGACACCAAAATTGACTCAATATGAGCCCAAATGTGTCCAAATCAAAGACTCGAAGCACATTTGGAAGGTCCAAACCATAAATTGGATGACCAGACGATTTTCAAATGTGACATGCTTATAATCAAATCGAGTAGCTCGACAAGACGAATCCAATGAGTCCAAGATCGTCGAATTCTTATATCATTAAGACACTGAAATACTCGATTAAGGTCCACGATCAAGGGAGTCGATATTAGCCGTCCATTCAAAACACTCCTAACATGACATTGATATTCTCCTTATTTACTGGCCATGTCACTCCTAAAAAACTAAATAGACTTCTCATTCTTTATTGAGCGGGGACCAAGCAAGGAAGAGAAGGGACGAGAAGGGAAGAAGAAAGAGAGATCTGGGATCTAAGATCTCTCTTGCCACAAAACTCCTCCTCGACCACTGTTCGACCATCATCCGTTGTCGGACTATCGTCGGACTTATGCCGGCCATCGATGGTCGCCAGACTTCTGCTCGGCCACTAGCCGTTGCTCAACTACAATCTTTCTGATCTCTGTTGCCCACCAATTACGGTCATTCTGACCATATTTACCATACTACGGTTTTTCCGACCTCCATCGTAGACTATGGTCCTTCCAACCACCGTCGCCCAACTACGGTCTTTTCGACCTTCGTCGCCCGCTTAATATGGTCTCTCTGACTTCCACCTCCAAATTACGGTCTGTCCGACCGCCTTCGCCAGACTACAGCCTTTCTGACCTCCGTCGCCTGCCAATTATGATTCCTCCAACCAACATCGTTCGTCGACTATGTCTTGCCGACCAAATGAACATGTTAACACTGATTCTTCTAACTCCCACTATGTAATGCACTTTATATGATGTATATTTGCTATATCGAGCCAATACCTTCTCCTCAAGGAGGGGTCTTATTTGTAATCAACTGCAAATACTAGTTGATTCATTTAAACTGGGCAAGGCCCCGTGGTTTTTTCCCCTCTTCAGGGGTTTTCATATAAAAACTCTTATCTCTTATGAATGTTACACCCTTATCTTTCATCTATTTGTGTTCTGGATCTTCGTACAAAGCTAAGACATTAAACTTTATATTTCTCTATTGCTACGAATATTCCAAGACGCCACACTTATTTTTATTTCAAAGAAACATTTTCTATTTTAATTTTATCTGTCTCTTTTTAGTTATCGGGGGGCTGATGGGAAATTAGAAGGATAGTATTTCTATTCTCTTCCTTGTTGTGGAAGGCGATTTTTGAAACTTTTGAATCTTAAAGGGATAGAATCGTTATTTTCTATTGCATTTGCCTAGTTTGTTCTCCTCCTTTATTAAGCTTGTTTGCTAGAGTGGCACAGAGCAATGGAAACATTACCTTCTTCATCAAAACTTAGTGCTTTACAATGATGGCCAATTGTTGAAATTTCTTAACTCTTTGAAATGTTTGAGTAGAATGCATGCTCGTTGGGCATTATTTCTACAAAATTTAGCTTTGTGTCTAAACACAAAATGAGCTTGTAGACACACCCAGTAGGAACTAGGAAGTCTTTTCTTCTAACCACCTGCACATGGAGATAATTAGACTGGAATCCTTGAAGCAGCAACAGTGATTTTTTGGCCCCTTGGATCCTTTGCACTATTTCCCAACTTTGGTCGTTGGGTGGAATATTACCCCTTCAACATGGCTACCTATTTAAACGAAATCAGCTGTGCATTTCAAACATTTCTCACTGGATGCAACTCATTAAAAAAATGTACATGGGAGGATTGATGGCTTGGGGCGTGGAAAGACATTTTTTTTGTAATAGCCAAAGGTTTGATTCTTATTATGAAAACAATCACAACCCTCATACATATTTTTTGTTTTGAAAATATTTATATAAATATACGTTTCATTGATAAGATGTTCTAAAATGCTTATTAAAATAAAATTTCAAGTTATTTTTATATTTAAAAATGTTGATTGTTTGGCTCAAAAATAGTGACAAAGAAATCATGATAATATTTCAGGAATCATTATAACTCTAATTTGCAAATCATCTTTGTTATAACATAGATATTATTATGCTCTAATTATAAGATTTTTTTTTTCTAATTATATGGGAAGTGTAGTTATGAAAATAAGCAGTTCCTTATTTATTTGCAATTCCTAAAAAAATTAACACATGTTGGTACAAATGGACCCTCTGCCAGATTCTATCGTCTCAATTTCTTTCATCCAAAGTAGTAATGGACATACTTTTTTGCAGAAATCATTGTGTAAGCATACTTAGCAAACACTTTCTGGTGTTTAACAGGTTTTGAATTTGCTCAAGAGGGCGCTTGTCTCAAACATTCCTCTGACAGATGTCTTCCTGCAAGAGCCAGACACAATAGATTGTGCCGAGAAATTGCCAACAAAAAACATCATTCAAGCAAGAGAGAAGCCCAAAATAAGCAGCGACAATAACTTGAAAATTCCTATGAAGCTTTTCCTAAGCAAAGATACTGACAAGGTGGTGTATGCTGAAGCAAGTGAAGAGCTGGTGGATCTTTTATTCAGCTTCCTTACTTTTCCACTTGGTTCCATTATAAAACTTCTGGGAAAGAGATCCTCCTTGGGATGCATGGACAACTTATACAAGAGCGTTGAGCTTTTGAGCTCACCTAATTACTTAATCTCAAATGAGTGCAAGGAGATGCTATCTTCTCCTAAGCTGGCTCCTTTCTTTGGCGTTGATAAGCAGCTTTTGCATATTGAAGAAGCTTTTCCTCTGTCAATCAAGTCCTGTGCATGCAAAACCTGCTTTTCCTTCTCTTCAGCGACCAGATGCCTTCATGGACATAATGTATCTTCCTTTAATCTGATGAATCCTAAGTTGCAGAACTCAGGTATAGAACGAGGAGGAGGTTATGTGAAAGGCATGGGATGGTTCCTGATAACAGATGAGATGGAAGTGAGCCCGCTTTCACCAATCACCAGTGTTCACATTATCAACAAGTTGATGGTGCCTATCAGCGGTTTAGAGGAGGTTACAGCCAGCCTAGGAGAAGCAGAGGTGAGTTTAAGGCTTCGTCTGAGACGGCTTTCTTACTGCTTTTAAAAGTAACTTTTCAGTGCAAAAATTTTAATTTTTGTGCTAAAAAGCTGCTTTAAGAAGTAATAAGAAAATTGTCCCAAACGAAACCTAAGTTTGTGTTTGCGAGTTTCTGTCTTCAACATTACATTTAGTTTAATGATCTTTAAATCCTAGCGTAATATATAAATAACATCACTTGCTGCAAACAAAATGTTTGCCAAAGCCAATTGATATGCTTTTAGTATTGCTTTCTTTAGCAGTGACTATTAAGTTATGGAGCTGAAAGAAAACGCACTATGCAGATTTAATTGTAGATTATTTTATTAAATATATTTTGAGCATTTTGTTATATTTTGGCTATAATTTTCTTTTTTCTGTGGGAGAGATCTTAATTCTGCATTAGTGAAATTAAAGTTGTTATTAACCATAATCAAATCATTGATGGCAACATGATGTAGCCATCAGTTGAGTGAAACTTTTATAATTTTTGTTGTTGTTTGTGCATATGAACTTCCTTTCAATTTTTTAATTTTTTTTTTGTTCTCTTTATTTGAATTAGTTTTTATCTATCCCCCAAATGCGACCATGCATTTTAGGTAAAATTTCATTAATTGGCGGCATAGCAGTCCAAGTCAGATCATCTAGATGCTTGATATGCTTAGCTTTATTTGGGACGGCTTTTTAACTGCTTCTTAAAGCTGCTTGTACTAGAAAGCTGCTTTAAGAATTTGTAAGAAAGTCGTCTCAAATAAAGCCTTTGTCTAATATTGCATGGACTTTGAAAACAAAGTATAAAGTTGACATCATGGTGTCTTTCTTTTTTTTTGATTTGCAACATAATATTAAAGTTTTTTCTGCATATATCTTTTGATGGCGCAGGCTTTGGATTTGTTGAGGGCTTGCTTGATCTCAGACGAGGTGCTTAGTGATGTATTTTCTCCCAATTTATTAAGGCTGCTTCAGCAGAATTGGCTGGGCTTCTTTCCTTGCAAATCAGATGGGTAATTATCTTATATGAATGAAATTTCCTGATTCATATCTACTTACTCACCTGCTGTTGTATTTATAAGAACATATTTGCTTGATAACTTGTATAATGTTTACATTGCTATAAAGTTACTAATTCATTTACTATTGTAAAAACATGATAAGATTGAACATAGTAGGCTTCTAATTACATTTTAATACTGTGGGGTTATTATTTAAAAAAAATTAAAAATCTCACGCTTTAGTTTCGTTTGTGATAACTTTTTTATTGTTTTCTAAAATAATTTTTCAGTATAATTTTTTTTTTTAATTTTGTACTAAAAAACTGCTTTATAAGACAGTATGAAAGCTCTATCAAACGAAAGTCTAATCTGATTCCCAGATACCCTCTCTCTTAATGTAATTTTTTTTTTTGTTAAGAATATCCTATCTCTGTAAATTGAGTGCTTGAATCAGTATTTAGAGTTTAAATACGTTTTTCATCTTAAGTGCTAAGCCTTAATGATTTGGGGAGTTTGTGCCTTCAGATGGAGTTGTATTGATGCTTAATATCGTCATTAGTAAGTTTAATGACATGATTAATGTTTTACTGAGATGGTTAATCTACCATCATAATGTCTTCTGGAATGTTAAATATTGCATCATCAATGGTAATTATGTCGGTATTGACGGTTGGGATTTTGACAGAATTTGTGATGGTTGATATTCTCACTACCAGTTTCAGAATACGAGAGGTTTTTTTACTTTTTTATGGAGAGAGAGAGAGCGAGTACCTAAAAGAGTGCGTGTTTTTAGAGAAATTAATTTGTGTGGAATCCAGACATGAAGAACCGTTTGGGCATATGACTGTACATAGATGTGATACACACTGACACACTGTGTTTATTATGCACACAGTGTGTACACTCACAGTCCAGATGGCTCCAGACTCCACACAATCTATGAGAATTTTAATTAAGGGATTGGTACATATAGAAGCCATATTGGGGAGTTGCAATTTCAAACTTCACAATTAGTTTTATAACACTTTGTAGATGTCCGACAGGAAAAATTATTCTGTGCAGACCCCGGACAACATTCGGAGATCAACCAGAACACGCCATGTCAAGTATTGGTGCTCGGTACTGCTCCATACCGGGTGACATAGCGCATTTTGATTGGTCTTCAGACCGTTAGGTCTACATAGAATAATTTTTCCCAAAATGGACCCTTTGTTGGAGTCAGATGACAAGACGATTATTTCGGCAGTAAATTTGCTTCTTTTGAAGCTCAACATAAACTTTAAGGTTAAAACTTAGTCAATTTAGCTTTACAATTGGTGTTTTGCATCAAACGTCGCAACTGATCCAATGGAAAATATGAAATCTCGACATAGATAATTTGCTAAAAAAACATACTTGTTGCGGGCTAGATTATAAGCGGTAATAGAATTATAATATTGCGTTCTAGCATTGTACATATGTTCAACTCACATATAGAGAGCACAAAATTTTTTACATAGAAAGCCCTTGAAAGGGGAAAAATCACGGGGCCTTGCCCAATTGAAATGATTATACAACTCTCAAAAAAAAAAAAAAAAAAAAAAAAAAAAAAAAAAAAAGAAATGATTATACTAGTGTTTGGATAAATTATAGTGAGTTGACTCATCCTTCAGGGCGATTAGATTACAAATGTAAACCGTATGATTGAAGTCTAATGACAAACAGGGGTGAAAGTTCGGTGTTATTTGGTGGTTCGACAGAAGTCTGACATTACTTGAAAATTCGGGCGTTAGTTGGTAGTCCGGCGGTGGTTTTGTAGAAGTTCAGTGTCAGGTATTAGTTCGATAGAACTCTGATGTTGGGCAGTGATCCTGTGAAAGTCCAGGCATAAGGTGGTGATCCAGCAGAACTCCGAGCGTCAGGTGGTGGTCTGGCAGAAGTCCGGGAGTTAGGTGGTGGTCTGGCAGAAGTCTGGGTGTCATGTAGTGGACCGGTGGAGCTCCGGAAGTCGCGTGGTGGTTCGGCGGAATTTCGAGCCTTAAGTGGTGATCCGATAGAACTCCGGGCGTCAAATGATGGTCCGGTGGAACTCCGGCGTCAGGCGGTGGTCCAAAGGAACTCCATGCCTCAAGTGGTGGTCCGGCGGAACTCCGAAATCAGGTGGTGGTCTGGCGGAACTCCGACATCAGGCGGTGGTCCGACACAACTCCGGGCGGTGGTCCGACGGAACTCCGGGCGGTGGTCGATGAGGTGCAAGAAGGCAAGAGCGATCTCCAATCTCTCTCTTGTTTCCTTTGGCTTGTGTCCCTTCTCAAGAAGAATGAGAGGTCTATTTATAGATTTCTTAGGGTGGCATAACTCGTAAATAGGAAGATGATCAAGGGTAAATGATGAGTGATTTTGGATGGACGGCCGATGTTGAATCCCTTGATAGTGGACCGTTTGCTAGACATTTGAAGGTTTTAATGATGTCAAAATTCCATGATCATAGGCTCATTGGATTCGTCGCGTCGAGCCGCTCGATTCGACTAGAAGCATGTCACGTTTGGAAAACGTTTGGTAATCCAAATTGAGGCTTGAACCTGCCAACAATGCTTCAGGTCCTTGATTTAAACTCATTTGGGCTCGGATTGAGTTGAATTTGGTGTCGTTGGGTTCATATTATCGAGACATTCAGTTCGAGTGTAAGTTTTCTGAAATCAAAGTTTAGATAGTTCCAATTTTAATTTCAAAAGTTTCCAATTTGATTTTTCCTCGAGATTCATGTCCAATTAGGACAATTTTTTGATGATGTATCAATATTTTATATGAAATTAAATACAAATTACAGCTCATAAAACTTTTTTTAATAAAATTATAATTTTTTTTTAAATCACAATAAATTATTGTTTATATTTGTAAAATAATTAGCTGACGCATTTTAAGGGAATGGCAGAAGAATAATTTTATCCCCATCAATTCGGAATTTTTACCGTCTTATTTATTTATTTTTAATTGGAGGACCGAACAACATCGAATTGGAATTTCGACGGTCGTTTTAAGTGGAGAAATTTAATAAAATTGTTATATTGGAAGGTTAAAAATGTCTTAAATAAAGTAAAAGTTAGATTCTTAAATTTATATCTGCATCAAATTCCCATTAACTTTGTTCGCCAAACTCAAAGTCGTTGTTATCAACAAATGCTAATTAAGAGCTTTGGGCCCTAACTTGTCCATAAATAAGACCCAAAGGTCCATCTTTGTTTCATCAAAACATGGGCGGCGGCAAAGGTAGTGGCGGCGGCGGCAAAGGTGGTGGCGGCGGCAAAGGTGGTGGTGGCGGAGGCGGCAAAGGTGGTGGTGGTGGAAGCGGCGGAGGAAAAAGTTATTCTGGCAACAAAGGTGGTGGTGGTGGTGGTGGTGGTAGTAGTGGTAAGATGAAAGCACCTGGAGGTAGTGGATCTTATATTTCGAGAGCCACCTTTGAAAGCAATCCAAAAGGTTATTTTCATGGCCTTCATCATGGTAATGGCGGCGGCGGCGGCGGCGGCGGCGGCGACAGCTGCAGTGGTGGGGATATTTAGAGTTCAAGCTATGTTATGTAAGGTCTAATTAAGCAAGAATATAAATAAGTACATCTGTTGATCACTCGCTTATTATTTGCCTTTTTCACTTTCTATTTTCATAAATAGTATATATACATGGAAAGAAATCAAGTGGTCAAAAAAAAAAAAAAAAAAAAAAAAAA